GTGCCATGGGCGTCACGACTACGTTGGCACTTGGGAACAGCTGGTCTACTTGCATGAGGGGAGACTGGCCCTCTTTGCACATCCTGCCCGAGATGACCACACTACGCCTACTGCAGAGGCCTCCGCTTCGGGAGCTGCGAGACACACTCCTCTTGGAGCTTTTGATTTGCCTACTACAATGGATGCGCGCACGGCCCCATCCGAGCCCCATCTTGGAGTTACGAGATCCACTCCTCTTGGAGCCTCCAGCTCGACTACTACATTGGACGAGCCTATGGGCCCCGCCGAACACTTTGTTGAAGCTAAGCGTCTTACTCCTCTTGGAGCCTCAGACTCGCCTTCTGCGCCTGATGACTTCATGCCTTCAGCAGAGACGTTGCCACCTTCGCCCCAGCCGGGTGCAGCCAGGTCGGCCGACACGCCCAACGAGCCTCATGACCTGCAATACATAAGGTCCTTGCTTGTATACATGCACAACCACCTGGCCTGCCAAGATGCCTTGAGCCGCACCCTTATGCAAACAGCAGAATCCAGGCGCTTAGAGTTGCATGCAGTTTCCGCCAAATTGCAGGAAACACGTGCCAGCCTGGCCCTTGCTCAACAGGCCTACACCGATCTCAGGCACGAACTCGATAGCACCTCTGCCGATTTTTTGGCCTATCGCATTCGCACAGAAGCAGAACTGGCTTATCTTAGAGAAGCCTTGAGGCCCATGCCCTCCCAAATCAATACCCTCAAGCGCATTGCCATCTTGCCCTACAATGCACATCTTCAGGCCCTACGTACCTTCCAGGTCCCAGCAAACAGGTGGGAAGAGGCCAATCCCCACGCCCTGCTGCGTAGAGAAATTCTACACCTAGAGGATGCCAAGGCCTATTTTCAGATCCAGGCCAGCCTCCCGCATCCTGCCCTGCCTCGGCCACTGAGATAGCCCATCCACCTCGGATGATTGTGCAAGCATCTCAGTTGAGCAGTCCTACGCGACATGCCTCCCCGACGCCTGCCTAGCCCACGCCAGAATAACAGCTATGTTGGAGATAACTCATACGCCCAGGATGCTTGCGTAGCATCTCCTGCCCAAGATGAGCGAAACCTACCCAGCCCCTCCGCGTTGGTCCTGCGGCCGCAGCCCCATCGGGGCCGATTTCAGCGTGAATTTTTCACACAAGCGCAGAGCATGTGATCTCAGCCTTTTGCCGCGTAACATACGCAGGCCATAATTTCTGCCCCTACCCTCCCGCCAGGTGCTCGCGACGACTACCTCAGCATCACCAACAACGAGAACGACCGCGTGGAGGACAACTCTAAGCCCTATTTGGGGAGTGGCACTCCCGCAGGCCTTCCTTCAGGTGATACCCCTCAAAGCTAGACCTGCCAACACCGAGGCTCTAAAGACTGGAGCGTGCACACAGGCCCTGCCTCCTCAGCTTGGGTTTCGGCATTGCCCTCTTGCAACGCCGCCTCGCCGAGTGCCCCTCCGTGCTCCAGCGTTGCCACCCTGCTATGAGCTGCAGGCCCTCGCCTAAAAATCTCTGCGCCTTGAGAAGCAAGCTCTTCCCAATAATCAAAACAGGGAAGTTGCGTAAAATTGCACAAGCCGCAACTAGGTCCAGCACTTGCGCACGCAGCATGTGATGGCAGCCTCCCCCCCCCCATGCCCCCCTTGTTTGCTTAACTTATAGGGGTTTGGGATGAAGCGCTGGCACACGCCACCAAAGCCTCAAGGGTGGCCGCGCTTTCTATGCTGCAGCCTAAGGGGGCCCGCCCCTTTTCTTCGCCCGCAGCCTCCAGCCAAGCCAGCCTTCATCACAGTCTGCGGCCTTGAGACGAGGCCTCAAAGGAGGCCAAAGCTGCTACGTTAGCCGCCAGCTTTAGGCCACAGCGTCAAGGGGGGGCAAGATCTAGCCTCGAGCCTCAGCCCGAGGCCTACGGGCCAGCCAAACCCTTTGATTTCCGCCTTCGGCCCCAAGCCACTGCTATTCAAGCAACTCAGGCTGTTATCTCGGCCTTCAGCTTCAGGCCGCAGCCCATAGCACCCCTCGGGGTTTCAAAATCACACGCAGCCACAAAGCACGCAGCAACGCCGTTTCTGCCTGCGTCTGCCTACATTTTTCAAGCAGAATCTTTCCCCCAGGGATGGTGCCCATAAGTCAGCCTGACAGCGCCAAGGCTCCCAGACATCGAGCGCGCTGCCTTCAGGGATAAAATGACACGCAGGTTGCCTGCGTTGGCCTTGCTTTTCATGCAAAATCCTGCCCTAGGCATGCTCCTCAACAGCCAGCAGGGCAGGACAAGGACTCCCAGAAATCGAGCGCGCCAGGAAGCTTCGCCTTCTTATTGACCTTGCAGGCACACAGCCTACGATGTATGCCTGGGCGAACTCGCCAATACCCAGCCTCCGCAGCCAAGCCCCCTTCACAGCCCTGAGCCTGAAACGCCTTTGGGGAACTGGCGCCTCCAGCCTAAGGAGTGGCCCCGTTTTAGCTGCACGCGCGATGCCCCCCTTGGCAGTGAGGAAAAGTCTCAAAGCCCTTGAGACATCTGTGCAACGGGCAGGAGCGCAGGAGGGAAACTTTGGAGAACTGGTGAACTCTAGCCCAGGAAATGGCCTTCGGAAAGCATCGCTCGAAGCCCGTCCCTTCAGCATGAGGCGGAGTCTCAAAACTCTTGAGGCATCTGCCAAATACAAGAAGCCTCAAAACTTTCAGGCGCCAATGGTCCAGCTACTGCTTAGGAATATCACCCTAGCGTCCGTGTGCGCAGCTCGCGACGCCAGCCCGGCCATGTTGCCTGAGTTTTGGGGGTTTAGGATGACACTGCCCACACGCGGTACACAGCGATGCCATCTGTGCCTATGCATTTTGCTACCACTCCTGAGCATCGACGCCCATCCTTTGGCCATGAGGTGAAGTCTCAAACCTTTTGAGACATCGGTGCAACCACTAGCAGCTTCAAAACTTCAGGCACAAATGGTCCAGCCACTGCTTAGAAAAAACTGCCTTAACAGGAAATTTGCCCTCGCGTCTGTGTGCGCAGCCCCCGACGCCAGCTTGGCCATCCTGCTTGAGCTCCTAGGGGTTTAGGATGGCACACTCCCACACGCTGCCCGCGACAATGCCTTCCATGCCTAGGTTTTTGGCTACCGCTTCTCATGCATTTTCGCCTTGACACGCGGTGAAGCCCGTCCCCTGAACATGCGGAGAAGCTTCAAAGCTTTTGGGGCATCGGTGCAAAACACAAGGACTTCAAAACTTTCAGGCACGAAAGTCCAGTCAAGGCCTAAGCAACCGCCCTCACGTCCGCGCGCGCCGCTCGTGAATCCAGCCCGGCCATCCTACCTGAGTTCTTGAGGGTTTAGGATGACACGCGCCCACGCCCGCCCGCAACACTGCCATCCATGCCCATGTATAGGCTACTACTTCTCGTGTTTTTTCGCCTTGAGAGTGGTCAAGCCCGTCCCCTGACCATGAGAAGAAGCCTCAAAGCTTTTCGGGCATCGGTGCAACTCACAAGGACTTCAAATCTTTCAGGCACGAAGTCCAGCCGATTTCTAGGAAGTCTGCCCTCACGTCCGTGCGCAGCTCGCGACGCCAGCCTGGCCATCCTGCCTGAGCTCCCCGGGGTTTAGGATGGCACACTCCCGCACGCTGCCCTCTCCATGCCTAGGTTTCGGCTACCGCTTCTCATGCATTTTCGCCTTGACACGCGGTGAAGCCCGTCCCCTGAACGTGCGGAGAAGCTTCAAAGCTTTTGGGGCATCTGTGCAAAACACAAGGACTTCAAAACTGTCAAGCACCAAAGTCCAGCCTATGCCTAAGAAAACCGCCTCACGTCGGTTGCCTGGCCTTCCAGCCTGACTTTTAGGGGCTGAGGATAGCTCATGCCCATACGCTGCCAGCGACAATGCCAATGTATGCTTATGTGCTAGCCTACCACGTCTCATGCTTTTTTCGCCTTGGGTGTTTTGGTCAAGCCCGCCCCTTGACCATGAAGAGAAGTCCTAAAACTTTTGGGGCTCCGGCGCAATCCACCAGCCCGGCCACCCCGCCTGAATTCTTGGGGGTCTAGGATGGCGCGCGCCCAATGCCATCCATGCCTAGGCATCATGCATTTTTGCCTAGAGAGATGCGGTCAAGCTCGTCCCTTTGCCCTGAAGAGGCCTGTGTGCGCCAATTCTGACATCTTGCGAAGTGCACAGACAGACTTAGGCATTGGCCTCCGAGGGACTCACAGCGCCCAGCGTGCGATCTGGGCAGCAAGGGATGCCCAGACCCCCGCTGCAGCGAATCCCCCACAAGGAAATGGCATGCACTGGTGCAAGCGCGCTGCTTGTTTCGCCGGGCCTATATCAGGCCCACGTATTGACATGCTCTGCATGTCATAGTTACGTGGTCCGCCTCGGACCTACACTGGAGCCTTGCCCAGCCGCCTGCCGCCTGTGCCTGAATCGAAGATCCCGCTCTTCCTTGCAAGGATTGATGGTCCGCCTCGGACTCACGCTGGAGTTTTTTCCCAGCTGCCTACTTATTGCTTATGCCTCACCGCAAAAGCCCTGCCACTGTTTCTTCTTGCAGCGCGCTGCTTGTTCTCGCCGGGCTTGTTCTTAGGCCCACGTCTAGACATGCCCTGCGTGTCATAGACTCGTGGTCCGCCTCGGACTCACGCTGGGACTTGCCCAGCCGCCTATGCCCGAATCGGAAGCTTCAGCATTCCCCTCGCAAGCGCATTGCCCCTGCCGCCAGGCTTATCTTATGTCCACGCATGGACATTCCTTGCGTGTCACAGACTACTGGTCCGCCTCGGACTTACGCTGGAACTTTGCCCAGCCGCCTACGTCTGCGTGCCTGGCTCTAGACGCAAATTTTGCTTGCCAACAGCGGTGCGCTCAGATGCCATTGGGTTCGCCCCACGCCCACATTTAGACATGCCCTGCGTGTCATAGACTGGTAGTTCTGCCCAGCTGCCTCCGCCTGAGTCGGAAGACTCCGCGTCCGCCTCGGATGTTTCTCAGTGTTTTGGGGCTGGCCCAGCCCCGCGCAGCCTACAGTGACTGCTTTCCCGCAGGCAGTCTGCACCATCAAGCTGGAACTTTGCATTTCATGCAATTGGGCCCAAAAGCTCGTGAGCGCCTGCTCTCGGCAGTCCCTGCACAGGGCCCGCCTGCCGCCGACGCCCAGTCGGTGCAGACCGCCTTGCCATCAACCACCGCCCAGGTTGGCCAGCCATCAGCCACCGCCCAGTCGGCCAGATTTCAGCCACCGCCAAGGCCACCGCCCAGGTCGGCCAGCCTTCAGCCACCGCCCAGCCAGTGCCCACAACGGCCCCGCCTCGGGTAGTCACGGGACAGCCAGCGGTCTAAGGACCCGCGCCCGCGGTGACCTGCCCACCGCCAAGTCGGCCATCAGCCACCGCCCTGGTCGGCTAGCCTTCAGCTACCGCCCAGGTCGGCCAGCCAGTGCCCGCAAAGCCTTCTCCTCGTTCGTCGGGAAGAAACACATCCCAGGTCGGATGGCCTGTTGTTGTTGGGACTGTCCCAGCCCAGCAAAGCCGTCAGTACGTCCACAGGACCGCGCGTCTTCAGGGCACACCGCAAAGTACGACTGCCCGTGTGTTCCCCTTGCCTTGACCTAGCTGTGACGATTAGCTGCCCCGCTCGCCAGGTACATCCCACAACATCGTCGTGGAGTTCCTCAAGGTAACCCTGCCCACGAACCCACCAGTCTGCCCAAATGCACACGTCCTGTGGCAGACTTGCCACAAGTAGCCACGTCCCTTGCCCTTGAGCTTGCCCAAGTATCAGCTCTCCCAGCCCTCACACAAGCCCCCTGTCAGGTAAAGCCTTCTGGCCCTGCCCTGGCCACGCCAACAGCCCTTGCCTTGGCCTCGGAAAGAATCTGCGCAAGAGGCCAAACATGCCCGCGCGTAACATGGGCAGGTTTCAGCCAATATGGTCCACAAGCGCCAAGGCCAGGCACCCTCCTCGCAGGCGCACGGCTTGGGTTTGCCAACAGCCACATCCCAAAACGCGTTTGGGCCTGACTCACGCCCACGTCTGCACCTGCCCTGCGGGTCTGTAAACTGTTGGCCCGCCTCATATGCTGCCTACCTGCCTACGCCACGGATGGCTTATAGCATTTGGGAACGCTTAGCCAGCGCAGCCACGCGCACGGCCTTCAGTGACCTCCACATGTCCTTGTGCAGGTCCCGCGTGGGTTTGACTGTCACAAACAACTGCCCGTGTGTTTTTTCTTTGCCTGTAGGACCTTGCTAGGGTTAGCAACCCCTCTCGCCAGGTGCAGTTCACTTCCTCGTGGCGGAGTTCTTCACTGTGGGGTTGCCCACGAACCGCCTGTAGGACCTTGCTAGGGTTAGCAACCCCTCTCGCCAGGTGCAGTTCACTTCCTCGTGGCAGAGTTCTTCACGGTGGAGTTGCCCATGAACTGCCCAAGTGGAGCCCACAGGCCCCCAAACGGGGATCTTACAGCCTTCCACTTCAGGCCGCAGCCCCATAGCGCCCAAGCCCTTACGCTTGCCTTTGCCTGCAGCCCCCAGGCGAGCTAAAACCTCTTTTCAGCCTTCGGCCTGAACAGCAGACTAAGGACCCAAGCCATGGTCCTGGCCGCCTTTAGCCTTCGGCTGCAAGCGAGAGCCTCAAGGAGGGCAAGCCCACATTCTCGCTTCTAGCCTCGGCCCGCAGCCCCCAACGGAGCCGCAGTTTCAGGGGGGCCGTAGCCGCCACCTCAAGGGCGGGCCAAGAAGTTATCCTGGCGCCCTAAACGGCAGCCTCGCAAAGACAAGCCTGCATCTTCGCCGCCAGCCTCACCTCGCCGCCCACAGTCGAGCCGCAGCTTCACAAAGGCCGAAGCCTCCATCTTGGCTCTCACCTGCAAGCCGCAACCTCAAGGGAGGCCAAGCAGAGATCTTAGCCTCTAAGGGGAAGCCTCGCAGAATACAAGCCTGCGTCTCAGCAACAGCCCCCCGTTGAGCCGCAGTCTCAAGGGGGCCACAGCTTTTATCTTAGGCCTTCAGCTTGAAGCCGCAACCTCAAGGGGGGCCAAGCAGTTATCTTCGCTTTCGGCCCTGAGCGGCAGACAATCCCACGCCTTCGACTTCAGCCCCAGCCCGCAGTGCCCAGTTAAGACGCAATCTCAGAGCGGCCAAAACCTTCTTCTTGGCAATCTCAAGGAAGGGGCTAAACAGTTCAATCTTTAGCCTTCGGCTTTCAGCGGAAGCCTCGAGGACGACAAGCCCGCGTCTTCGCCCTCAGCCTCAACCCTCAGCCCCCAGTGGGGCGCAGTCTCGGGGGGGGGCCAATGCCTGTATCCTGGCCTTCAGCTTGAAGCCACGCCGCCCGCGACGCCAACGCGGCCATCCTGCCTGTGCACTTGGGGACTGGGGTTCGGGATGGCACTTGCCCATACACCGCCCGCGACAATGCCATCTATGCCTAGGCACTTGCTACCGCTTCCCATGCATCTTCATCTTGAGAGGTCGGCAAAACCCGTCCCTCAACCATGAGAAGAAGTCCCAAACTTTTAGGGCATCGGAAGGACTTCAAAAGTTTCGGGCACAAAAGTCCAGCCATTGCTTATGCGCAAAGGCCCTCGTGTCCGTGCGCGCAGCTACCGACGCCAACCCAGCCATCCTGCCTGTGCACGTGGGGTTTTAGGGTGGCACACGTGGCCTGAAGCCGAGGGTTGCAGCCCCAAAAGACCAAGGAAACTCTTGGCCAATTTGGCTTTAAGCAGGCCGTGTAGTGAAAGGGGGGGCCAGGCCTCCATCTTAGCCTTCAGCATGTTGCTGCACCAAGAGCTTATATTCGCCTTCTGCCTCAGCCCGCACCTGTCAGGCGAGCCAAGAACCAAAACTTTCCTGGCCTGAAGATTTGGGCCGCAGCCTTAAGCGGGCCAGCACTCATCTCAACCTGCAGCCTGGGCCATGAACGCGCCAAGCCACAGCCAGCGTTCCTCGCAAACGACAGCCCCTGCACCGACCTCGTTTCTCCTGCGGGCGACATGCGCCCCAAGATGCTCTGACAGCTCGTGCCTGCCCTGACAGCCCAGCTTGCTCCTTCGCCTCCTCGCACGCCAGACCCATACGCGTATTGCCCGGCGCCAGCAAGCCAGGACGCCCGGCTGCACGAGCCACGCCAAGGCCGCTCACCACTAATGTCGTAGCTGACAGGCTGACGAGCCCTAATCAAGCCCCGAACCTCGAGCCGCGGCGTCAAGGGCCTGGCCTTGTATTCTGGCCACTCCCCTTTCTTCGGGCCACAGCCTCAGAGCTCGCCAAGAATCTACCCGGCCTCCCCAGCCACGAAGCAGCCAAGCCCTCTTCACAGCCGAGCCGCATCACCGGTACTATTGCCCAGGATATGGCCTTTCAAGTCTCTCAAAGCCTGTCCGTCGACCGTGAGGAGCAGTCCCAAAGCTATTGGGGCATCGGTGCAATTCACAAGGCCCTCAAGACTTTCAGGCACAAAAGTCTAGCCAATGCTGAAGCAAACCGCCCCCGTGTCCGCGGGCGCCGCTCACGAAGCCAGCCGGCCATCCTGCGTGAGTTCTTGAGGGTTTAGGATGGCACGCGCACACACCTGCCCGCAACACTGGCTTCGATGCCTATGTATTGGCTACCATTTCCCATGCATTTGCGCCTTGAGAGGTGCGGTAAAACCCGTCCCTCGACCATGCGGAGAAGTAAAAGCTTTCGGGGCACCCGAGCAATTCACAAGGACTTCCAAACTTGCAGGCACAAAAGTCCAGCCAATGCTTAAGCAAACCGCCTTCGTGTCCGCGGGCGCCGCTCGCGAAGCCAGCCCGGCCATCCTGCCTGAGTTCTTGAGGGTTTAGGATGGCACGCGCACACACCTGCCCGCAACAATGCCATCTATGCCTTTGTATTGGCTACCATTTTTCATGCATTTGAGCCTCGAGAGGTGCGGTAAAACCGGTCCCTTGACCATGAGGAGAAGTCGCAAAGCTTTCGGGGCGCCCGAACATTTCGCAAGGACTTCCAAACTTGCAGGCACAAAAGTCTAGCCAATGCTTAAGCAAACCGCCCTCGTGTCCGCGGGCGCCGCTCGCGAAGCCAGCCCGGCCATCCTGCCTGAGTTCTTGACGGTTTAGGGTGGCACGCGCACACACCTGCCCGCAACAGTGCCATCTATGCCTTTGTATTGGCTACCATTTTTCATGCATTTGAGCCTCGAAAGGTGCGGTAAAACCTGTCCCTTGACCATGCGGAAAGTCTCAAAGCTTTCGGGGCACCCGAGCAATTCACAAGGACTTCCAAACTTGCAGACACAAAAGTCCAGCCACTGCTTAGCAAATCACACTCATGCCCGCGGGCGCCGCTCGCAGGCCAGCCCGGCCATCCTGCCTGAGCTTTTGAAGGTTTAGGATGGCACGCGCCCACACCTGCCGCAACAATGCCATCTTTGCCTATGTTCTGGCGACCATTTTTCATGCATTTGAGCCTCGAGAGGAGCGGTAAAACCTGTCCCTCGACCATGAGGAGAAGTCGCAAAGCCTGTGGGGCGCCCGAGCAATTCACAAGGACCTCCAAAAATGCAGGCGCAAAAGTCCAGCCGGCGCCTAAGAGAATCGCCCTAGCGTCCGCGTGCGAAGCTCGCGACGCCAACCCAGCCATCCTGCCTCGGTTCTCGGGGCTGAGGATGGCGCGCGCCCGCATACTGCTTGCGACGGTGCCATCTATGCCCATGTCTTTGGCTGCTACTTCTCACGAGTCTTCGCCCTGAGATGCGACCCCGAGGCATGCACACGGGGTAGATGCAGGAATTCACACAAGAACACGAGTGAAGCCTGCGGAAGCCCCCAGAAATTGAGCGCGCAGACATACAATACTCGCATTTCTGCATGCGTTCGCCTACGTTTTGCGTGCCAAATCTCTTCCCGAGAGAAGCTGCCAGAAGTCAGCCTGACAGTGCCAAGCTCTCAGAAATCGAGCGTGACTGTGCCTCAGGGTTTAGGATGACACGCAGGCACGCTGTACACGCAGCAATGCCTTTCCTGCCAGTATTCGCCTACCATTCCTGCCAGTATTCGCCTATACTTGCGAGCCAACTCTCTCCAAGTCGGCCGAACAGTGCCAAAGCTCCCAGCAATCGCGCGCGCCCGGACCTCAGGCACAGCAATGCCTGTTTCTGCCAGTCTTTGCCTACACTTCCTATGCCCAACATCTCCTCAAGAGATGCTGCCCAAAAGTCGGCCGAATAGTGCCAAGGCTCCCAGTAATCGAGCACGGCACGCCGTGCACGCAGTAAGGCCGTTTCTGCCAGTAGTATTGGCCTGCACTTGCAATGCGCGAGAGATGCTGTCCAAAAGTCAGCCCAAGCTCCCGCAAATCGAGCGCGCCTGTGCCTCAGGGCTTAGGATGACTCGCACGCACGCAGCACAGCTAGCCCTCGCAGTGGCCTTCCTCACGGTCATCGGAGCCCCACTCAGCTGGAAGAAAGCCGCTTTCGGCGACCAACTCGTGTGGTGCGGTTGGAAGTTCTGCTTTGCCACAGAATCCGTATGCCTGGCGCAGCCCAAGCTGGATAAGCTGCGCGCCCAGCAACTCGGCCTTCTGGAGCACAAGCGCGTCCCCCGCAAGGAGCTCGAATCTTGCCTCGGCCTATTGATGTGGGCCACTAGCGTAAGCTCACACCTGCGCTGTGTTGCCGCCCCGCTATATGCAGACTTGCACAGCCCGCCAGGGACCCAATACCCCATCCCACCTCGCAGCTGGCCACAGTTCCTGTGGTGCCTAGACTCTCAGTGCCGGGTCACAAAGGACGCCTCATTCCTACAATTGCCCATAAAGGCCAAGGTAATTGAGGTCAAAGGGAAGCCGGTGTCGTCGAAAACGGACATCTGGCCCATCCCAGCTGCAGACAAGACTGTATGGGTGCGCGTCGCTGACCCAAACGCGCAGGAAATCACATTGCGCAACGACAGCAAAGCCGCCTTACACTGGCTCGCTCAGTGCTTTACGCACGAATTCCGCATGCCCCTAGCCCAGCCGCCCTTACTCCCTTGCCTCTCTGCAGCAGACGCCATGGCAGATGGCTCGCAAGTTGGGATCGGGGGCTGGTTGTGCACGTCCAGCCAAACTTTCTGGTTCGCACAACAGTGGTCCATAGCAGAACTACGTGCCCACTGGCCTTTCCTCACGAAGGATGCCGAGCAATATATTGCCTGCTTCGAGACCATCGCGCAGTGGGTCTTATTGCAGATGGACTACTCGGCCACCGGTTGCTCCAGCCTTCGCTTCTGCTTGCCCACTCCCAGCGACAACAGCCCAACACAAGCCTCAGTCAACAAGCTGTTTACCACCGCCTTTCCCCTCAGCCTCTTCCTGCTGAAGGTAGCCTCCTGGGCCCACGCTAAAGGACTGAGCCTAGAAGTGGGCCACATACCGGGAGTAAAGAACACGGACGCTGACGACCCCAGCCGAAACCGCCTGCAGAAGTTCACCGGCGCGACCACATCCAAGAGATTCCACATCAAGCTGCAAGACCTAGCTCGGTCGGAGCACGAGGTCAGCCTATGGCCCCCAAACGCCAACTGGAGCACTGGCCTAGTGCAGGTTTCAGCACATCCAGCCTAGTGCCCCAAGCACCAGCCAGACCGCCCGCGGTGGGGGTAGATAGGCCTAATGCATTCACCGGTCTGCCCTGGGCCCCTGAAGTGGGGGTGTGATGGCCTTTCATGCTCGTGGGACACTGCCCAGCCTTTCCCACGAAGCATTCTACTCTTTCGCCCAGAGCAGCACCGCTGAAAACAGGAGAGCGAGTCGGTTGTACCCTAAGCCCCTCCCTTTTGGGACTTAGGATTAGGGTTTGACTCCTCTCCCCAACTAGGGTTAGGTCATGCAGTGCTTGTTGGGAGAACGCCTCGGGTTTTTGGTTCCCGTGTGTTTTCCCACAAGTGAATCATGCACCGCCGTTTGCATTTTGCCCAGGCATGCCTTTGCACAGCTGGAGCATCTCCGGCTCACAGCTGGCCTTGACCTAACCCCTAGGTGGGGCCTTCTGCTTTTCTTCGCCCGCCCACCACTGCCCTTTCTCATTCAAAGCCTAGCATTCCAAAAGCCTGGATCCGTCCGGATCCCGCCTCCCAAAGTGGAGTAGCCCCTCAGAACTGCCTACTTGCCTCCCAAAGTGGAGTAGCCCCGGTCCCGCCTCGGGACCTCATCTCACCTCAACAGGGGGTGTGATGGCCTTTCATGCTCGTGGGACACTGCCCAGCCTTTCCCACGAAGCATTCTACTCTTTCGCCCAGAGCAGCACCGCTGAAAACAGGAGAGCGAGTCGGTTGTACCCTAAGCCCCTCCCTTTTGGGACTTAGGATTAGGGTTTGACTCCTCTCCCCAACTAGGGTTAGGTCATGCAGTGCTTGTTGGGAGAACAAACCAGGCTCTCATGATGTGGAACTCCTTCACTCCAAGATACTCCAAGTACAAACCAGACTCTCAATGATGGGAACTCCCTTGCCCCAAATACAAACCATGCTCTCAATGATGTGGAACTCTCTCAATGATGTGGAACTCCCTCGCCGTTTGGGGCCAGGGTGTTCCACATCATTGAGAGCCTTGTATTTGGGGTGATTGCGAGCCTGGTTTGTTTGGGGCGAAGGAGTTCTGGTGGATCGATGATCAATTCCCAACCCAATCCGGCTTTGTTAGGGGAAAGACCCAAGGGAACACAAAAAATCCACAACGAACCCAGCAAACTTCGCAAAGGCTTTACAGGAACCTGCTGTCATGAGGGGTCTTGGCCTTGCTGCAAAGAAGTTCCACTCGGCCCTGCAGTGAAATTCCGTCAGCCAACCAGGTCGCAAAACATCTGAAATCAAGATAGCTGAAGATTACGCGCGTTTTTTTTTCAAATGAAAAAGTGCGAGCGCAGCGAGCGAAACACCGGAGTCTTTTCAGTTTTTGGAGTAAACCTCTCCAAAATGCACTGTAAGTCAAATTCTGGAACTTTCAAATTTGTGGAGAATCGTCAAATCTGACAATTTTCCATTCTTTAGAACAAAAAGCATACAATGGAATTGAGATAAATTCAAAGGTCATTGCGATTGAAGTATTGCCGCGAACCTCAACCAGTCGTGGATGACACCAACGTGGCAGCTTGGGTCGAGCGTGCAATTGTCGAAGTCGACGTCGGTGACAAAAGCACATTTGCTGAACGTTTTTGATTTTTGTGACCGCCATGTGGGCCTGCTTGTCGCTTGTGCGCAGTCAGAATACGGTGTATTGCCATAAATATTGACGTTCTTCGAACCGTGTTGTCTCTAGCAACAGAGGTTGGACGGAAGGCTCCGACCGTCAACAGCTTGCCAAGACCGTATCTTGTGTTTACTCAAGGATGTTTTTATTTTACTTCAACTGAGCTGTCACTTTGCTTGCGTATCAGCCATCGGCCCAAAGTGAGAGACTCATGTCTGGACATGACATACTTCGCATGCGTGAGCAATTTTGTGATGTCACCAAGTAGCATGTGGCACAATTCCTTTGGGTCATGTGGTTCTCCCTTCTTCCGATCACTTTTAGGTTGGGGGGGGGTAGATTGCAGTTCCTCGCTCATCGCGGGAAGAGCCTAGAGACCCCACAGGGGGCGCATGGGCAGCGTGCCTACCGAGGACTCTCTTACTCCAGCGGAGGAAGCAGATAGGGCCCAGCTGCGGGTTGTTTTTGATCTTTGGGGTCAAGTTGGTGCCATTAGTCAGCAGCTCAGTTCCTTTCAAGAAGAAAGCCTGGTTTTCTCTGAGCATTTTGCCGCTTTGACACAACGTGTGCAACTTTTGCAAGGTCTGCTGTTGCATCTTTTGCTGCATTCATTGCGGTCACATCATTTCTTGCAGGAACTTGATTGACATGTCGCAAACCAGCCCTGCCGCATGCACGGGCGCCTCTTCTCCGTCAGGTGAAGATCCACTGCTGTCCGAAGCTTCAGATTTCCCCTCCTGGAGTTTGTGCCAGTCTCCAGAGAATGTTTCTGGGTTCGGTTCGAGGGAAGCTCAGAGGTCGCACTCCCCGCCTTCGCCTGTCCCTTGTGGTTTTGTGGTGAAGCGTTATCGCAAGAATCCTTTGCCCATTGCAGATTCCCCTCCTGAGCCTCCTCCACAGCCTGCCTTCTTGAGACCTAGTGCCAAGCCCGAACCCGCCCCACGCGGTCCGTTCCGGTTAAGTGATAGTTCACGTAGACCTGTGTGCGTGATGCTTCATCCATGTCCTGCCCCTCGGCCTGGACCTCAGCCTCGGTTCACTGCGAGGGTTCTGCCATCATCCCCCCTGTTTCGGCCCGTTCCGCGTCGGGCTTCAGAGTATAGCAAACCCATTCCTTCGGCAGCATCTCAGCCAAATCCGGTCCGTGCGCATTGCGGGTCCACTGCAGGTCCACCTTCTGCAACTCCCACTGCATCGCAAAGCACTGCCACTGCCTATCGCTTTCAGGAGATGCCGCTGCGGAAGCGATCGCAGGGTGCTTCAGGTTTTGTCACCCAGAAGGACGTTCACTCTGAGACACGTGCGAAGGCCTTGCAACTTTGGCAGAACATGCGGTCTGTTTTGCTTCCGCTGTCTTCAGTTTTGCAGGAGCTTTCAGGTTCTTCCCACCCAGAGAGTTTGGAGGACAGGTTGCTGAGCGGGGTGTCTGAGACCACTTTACTCCGCTATCTTCAAGGTTTCAAGGGCTTTTTGCATGCGCTACACACCCTTGATCGAGCCTTGGACTCCTCTCTTCGTCAAGTGGACATTGCAGATGCACTCTTAACAATGCACAACATGGGCACTCATGTGCTTAATGGCCTCAAGTCCTTGCGTTGGGCCCAGAAGACGTTGCTTTTGTCCCTCCCGGATTTGTGCCAGGGGCTCATGCACTCCGTGTCCTACAGGGTTGAGAGTGATAGGAAGGAGGCATTCCCTCTGCCCCTTTTTTGTCTTGGCTGCCTTAGAAAGGCAATTGCTGCTGGATATGGGCTCTCCTGCTCGCCGCCTTTTCATTGGGGCAGTTTTGACTTCTTGTTGGAGCAGCCTTCGCCTCAGCGATTCTCAGCACGTTTCATGGAGCTCCATCCAGGCAGGTTCTTGGTGCACACGAGGCACATCTTATCGCACTAAAGTCAGCAGGCGGGGGGTCCCTTTTGGTCTCCTTAACGAGGGTTTTTATAGTGCCGGCCGGAGTTTTGCGTGCACTTGGGTCGCACGCTACCTTCGCCTCCTGGGTGAGGAGTGGGACGCCTTAGAGGCGAGTTTTGGCTCTGTCACTCCAGATTGTCTCTTCTTTTCGTCTGCGGCAGGCGAGTTTCAGCCTCTCACGTATGGCGAGGTCCTCAACCAATTGCGTGGTCTTTTGATTTCCATTGGTTTGAGTACCGAGGAGGCCGGCACCTTTACAGTTCACTCGATGAAGGTTTGCCTTCTTTCCGTCATGGCGCAACGTGGTTTCCGAGTCTCCCGCCAGGAGGCTCAGGGGCATCATAAATCCTCCTCTCACAGTGCCAAGCTTTACAGTCGCGACGATGTGTGGCCAGCTTTGGCAGCCCAAAAGTCCTTAATGCGCAGCATCTCTCAGGGGTGGTGGCCGTCCACCCCTCTGGCCCGCGGCGGTCGTCATCCGGTTCCGCAGCGTGCCATTGCACACCTTTCCGTGGAGATACAGCCAATAGCACCTCACCCCCGCTTTCCAGTTCTGGACGCCTCCTTGCACTCTGTCCCCGAGCCTTGTCCGTCTGCATCACACGACCGTGCTGGGCCTTCTTCACCCATTGCAGCTGCTGATGTCTCTTCAGACTCCTCTTCATCGTTTGAGACGATTGCCCACGCTGCTGATGCGTTTCCACAAGGCAGTGCACGCCAGGCATCCTCCGCAGATGCTGACGAGTGTGAGGAACATGTCTTCCTCGTATCCCCCAAGGGCGTGTGGCATGTGGGCTTTCCCCACAGTGGCCCGGATGGTTCCAGCTTCGTGCGTGCAGGCAAAGCTGTTCTTTTGCGTCCTAAGTGCGGCGCTTTGGCTCGCTCCTACTCGGTTCAGGATAAGGAACCGCCTCCGGATGCCCGTCTGTGCATGCATGCCGCATGCAGGAAACTTCTGTCCGAGTGATTCGCGGCTCCTGCAGTCAAAAAAGGGGGGGGCGAGAGGGCTCCTTTTGTGCAGTCTCAGTTTGTTCGCATGCTAGGCCACAACTGAGCAACTTCTGGCCCGCAGTGGTGCGGCTCGAATCGACAGTTCTGGTGGGGCTCCGTGCTTCGCAACGTGCTTCAAGGACAGGTCTCTCGGCTTGATTCCGCCCCCCCAGTGACATCGCACCAGTTGGTGCTTCGGCCCCGCACATGTGTGCAGTGGCTTCTTGGCCACGGCCTGTCAGATTCGCACGTGTGTGCCAAACTCTGAAAGGTTTGCACGGTGGCTTCTGTTGCAGCGTTCTTATCAGGTTTCTCCAGGCTTCCGGTTTCGGGATCATCTCGGGCCTGGCATGAAAAGTCTTTGCCTTCAGTCTCTTGCTGCACATGGTACATAAGGTGTTTGTCTGGCCATTTCTGTGAGGCGACAAAATGACCATCCCCTTCAATACACGCTCGGTTTCTCACGTGATAGTACGTGGGTTGTCCAAAGAAACTTAGTCTCACGGGCGTGAGGTTCAGGTGTTTGCATCTGGAATGCAAAGTGATGCCAGCGAGATTCTCCTTGCTGCTCTCGAGCGTGTGCTCCCCTGTGGGGTTGGTCCCCTTTCGCACGTGTGTGGCATTTCGCGTTTGCGCACAGATGAGTTCATTTGTGTGTCTTTTCTTTGCTTCGCCAGGAATCATGGCTTCGGCGGATGTTCCGGATCTGGACGAAGAATTGCTGGCTCTGGCAATTCAATGCAAGGTGCCCGAGGCATACCATCAGTGCCTCTCAGGCTTCGATGTTCCTCTTTTCGGCTGTTTGGCCACTCTCCTCGAGAAGGTTTCTGCCCCGGAATCCGCCGCTGAGATCTTGCTGGTTCAGGCTTCATTTCGGCTTCTCTTTCAGAAATGCACTAACCAAGCAGCCGCTTCGCAAGGCTCTGAGCCCAAAGCTCCTTCCTCGGCTTCGACATCTGGGTGGGTTGAGCAGTTCCCGCCAAAGTTGTCAGGTGAGCAGGTCATCCAGCTGCGTTCCGCCTTTGGAGCGTCCTATCCGGACGAAGTGTTGGACCACGAGAACACCCCAGGCAGTCGCATGTTGGCTCTTACTTCGAAGGTGATGCAGCCGGGTGAGCTTAAGTGGATACCCTGGAAGTTTCGGATGAGCAAGGCTCAAGAGGAAGCTTTCAACCTTCGCCGGCCCTCCAAGGTCCCGAAGTTCGAGGACTTCATCTACGATGAGATTCCAGCTCGAGAACTTCCGCAAGGCCAAGTTGGCGCATCATTTCTTCAAGGGGTGCTCGGCCTCATGTCGGTGTCGGCATCCTTGGTGCAAGGGGCACATCTCCACAATCTTCGCCTCTATGAGCGCAAGTTCATCAAGTTGGCATGCTCACGCTTGGAAGGTTCGACTGGCCTCAGACAACCTAACATCGAGGAGTTACAGGCTGCCGACCGACATCTCTGGGGTATCATGGCTGACTTGGTCAACGTGCACAAGTGGACGTTGAATGATGCCTTGACTGAGGTGGTTGAAATCCGCGGTGATATGTCAGCCATGCTCCAGCCACGTGCAGCTGTCTCTAAGTTTCGGCCAGAGGGCAGGAAGGGTGATGGCAAGAAGGGCCGTCCCCCTCAGGAGTCTTCATCTGGCAAGGGTGGCAAAGGTCAGCGCTGAGTTCTCTCTTACCAGGACAAGTCTGGGGCACGCAAGAATCTCTGTCGTGGCTACAGTTCTCGTGACGGATGCAAGTTTGCGAATTGTCGCTTTGAGCATTTGTGTCCGGTCCCAGGCGCGGATGGGCGTCCATGTTTGGGTAAGCATCCGGCGTACGAGCACAAATCACGCGCTTCAAACTGACTATCTTCTTCACTGGGGGCCGGCAATTCAGATGTCCGTACAACACGAGAGGATGATGGTGTCTCGCCCGCAGAAGCTCTTCAGAATGGCGATTTCTCTTGGGAGACTTGCTTGTATCTTTTGCAGGACTCGTTCCCTGGCGCAGTTTTTCTTCGCCGTTCACACGTGCTGACTGGGGGTCGACCTGCTGCTCAGTATTTTAACTTAGGGGCACGCGTGGGGGGTCACGGTGGCATGTGCTCGGCCACTCTGGAGCAGCAAGATCTTGTGCGGTATGTGAATGCATTTCTCGCGCACCTTTTTCCTGAAGGCACTTGGACGAGCATCTGTGTTTCTCACAATGAGTTTGCGCACATCCACCAGGATTTCAACAGCCCCGAATCTCAGAATTACACCTTCAGCCTGGGGGCCTTCTCGGGCGGAGGCTTGTGGTTGGAAGGCGACGCTTCGGCTTTTCCAGGCTACACCTTGGTGCCGCCTCCAGACAAGGAGGCAGATCAGTCCTTACGTGGGGCCATTGTGTGCACTCGGCGGGCAGGCTTCTCTTTCAATGGCCGCTTGCGCCACTGCAGCGAACCATGGGTTGGCGATCGCTGGGTCGTCATCGCTTATACGGCGCCCAATCCGGATGCTCTGTCCGCTGATGACGTCTCCTTGCTGGCGGCTCTTGGTTTTCCCTTGCCTCGCGTGTCGAGCACACCTCCACCGCCATCTGCTCAAGGCAGTGTCGTTGCAACTCCTGCTCCGGATGCACAGGTCACGTGCGCCAACGCTTCCCGACCAGGTCCTGCCTCCGCACTTTCCTGCCCTGCGAAGGAATCTTTTCCTCGAGTTGTGTTCAGGCAGGAATCGGCCACTTTCCTCTGCGGCTCTCAGGGCTGGTGTCTCTGTCATCTCAGTTGATATCCTTCGCTCATGTGAGCAGGACATCCTCCAGGATAGCACTTACGATGCTTTGTTGCGGCTGGGGTTCTCCGGTCAAGTGACACTTGCGCATGCATCTCCACCATGCACTGAGTACAGCCGTCTCAAGTTGCTGGATAATGCAGGCCCCCGCCCTCTGCGTTCGCCGGACCATATGGAAGGTTTCCCAGACTTGAATGCTGAGGAGAAGCACCGTTTCGAGCAAAGCCGCTTGCTCCTTTTTCGCTCCTTGCACATCCTCCGCGCTGCGTGGTGCGGTGGTGGCCACATTAGCTTCGAACACCCTGCCAACAGCCTTGCCTGGCTCGAGACCCAGGCTTTTCTTAAGCACGTTTCCGCCGATCTCAACTGCATTGCGGCTTGTCGGTTTGGGGCAGATTGGTACAAACGTTGGCTCTTTGCTTGCACTTGGCGGGATATGCAGGGCTTGGCGTGTGCTTGCAATCACGCTCCCGACAGCCACCAACAGGTGGTTGGTGCTCGCAACTCGGATGCCACCTGGGCCTCAGCTGCTACTTCTGAGTTCCCTCCTGCACTGGCGGAGGCGTATGTGGCTGCTGCGCTGCCCTTGTTCGAGACGTGTGCAGATCCAGTTGATTTGTCCTTGGCCCAGCTCCCCTTCCTTGTACCCAAGAAGGGCATGCACTCTCCTCCTTTTGGCACGCAAGATGGCGGCGGCATCTTTTCCTGCCCTGATTGGTCTAAGCCCCCTAGCGATGCTGTGGATGTCTTTGACGGCTTGCGCCAAGAACTTGTGCATTACCTGTTGTCTCGCAAGGCACCTCTTCGCCTTCAGGAGCATGTTCAAAGTCAATGCGAGGATGCTCTGTTTTCCGCGGATGAAGTGGCTCTTCGCGCCATGTGGTCCTCCTGGTTCACTCGCAAGGGCTGGCCTGCCCCCGATTGGAAAGTTCCACCTTCTCAGCCATATTGTCTTCATGCCCTCTCCGCTTTGTCCCGAGCCATGGGCGATCGAGATGACATGCTGTTTCCTTGCCTGTTGGAGGGCATCCCCACTGGTTTCTTCAATGACATCCCGAGGAGCAACGTCTTCATCCCGGTGGAAGACGTGGGCAGCCTGGCCTCCGATGATCAACTGCAGATTTGCGAGAGCAATTGGCAGGGCCCGCACGGGAGAACCCTGCTATCCTGCACGAGTTGGTGCAGAAAGAAGTCGATGAAGGATGGCTGGAAGAGGTTCCTCTCCCCGAGGCAAAGCAACGTTGGGATAAAATCGCGGTTGCCAAGCTGAACGTGGTCCTTGCTGAAAACAAGAAGCCCCGCTTGATCATGGATGGGACTATCAGTGGGACCAACCCGAGCTGTTTCATGAACGAGAAGTACAATCTCCCTGGCCTGCAGGATGTTCGCTCTTGCTTTCCTCTTCGCGGGTGCCACTCTCAGCACGCAGGTTTCAGTTTGGATATCCGGGCTGCGCACAAAGCAATCCGTATCAAGGAATCGGAGCGTGGTCTGTGCGGCATTAAGTTGGAAGATGGCCGCCATTACTGGTATCGCGTGTGCCCCTTTGGTACGAATTTCTCAGCTCTTTGGTGGGCGCGGCTTTCATCCTTCATGATCAGGGTTTTCCATCTTCTATTATGGGTCGCACATATGCTCAGCATTTATGTGGACGATCTTTTACTGGTCCAGGATGATGCTGTGGTGGCAGTGTTCGGCAGCTTGCTTCTCTCTTTCTGCCAATCCTTCGGGATTCCTCTTTCCTGGGCCAAGGTACAACTCAGTCATGAGCTGAAGTGGTTGGGCTGGTGTTTTAACTTTCGCGCCGGAACGTTCTGGGTTCCAGAAGATAAGCGGACCAAGCTGCTGCAACAGATTCGGGTTCTTCTCAGAAAAGGTCCTGTCGAGAAACAGGCCCTAGAGCAGACCGTGGGTCTGTTGATGTGGATAACTCAGGCATCGGTGCAGCTGCGCCCCTGGCTTTGCAACCTTTGGCGGGACCTTCAACGTCCGGCAGCGACAAACTTCAGCATCTCTTCCAGTGAATGGCAGACGCTCAAGGATCACCTGGATGAGAACTTGCGGTTCTGTTCTACCCCGCCTGGGACGGCCATTCCATGCGGTGCTACCTTGATCTCTGCCCGACACGTCCCACTTCGCAGCAAGGCAGATCTGTGCAAGGTCCCTTTGACAACTCGTCGCGTCTACATGCGGATTGCTGACCCGCAACACCGGAAGCGGCATGTGTCTGAGGCGAGCCGTCGCTTCTTGCTCTTCTGGGAGGACTGGTGTCTCCAGTCTCCATCACTCACATGCTTGCAACCTTCTTGCAGGGCGATCTCCGCAACACTTGCAGCCGATGCGTTTGCTTCCAGCCAGTGCATTGGGATTGGGGGCTTTCTTCGTGTCCAGGGTTCCTCGGCAATTTGGTTCAGTGAACGTTTTGCTCTCTCCGATATGCAATGCTTGGGGGTGCCTCTCGCCCCGGATGCTCAGAAGAACATTGGGTGCTGGGAACTGCTCGCCCAGATGGCCTTGCTCATCCTCTTTGCGGAGGTCTGTCCGGGTGGTCGTGCTGGCTTGTCGCTCCGCACCTTCTGCGATAACAGCGCGGCTGAGTCAGCAGGCAATCGCATGCTGACAACTTCCAGCCCCCTATGCTTCTTCGCGCAGCAACTGGCGTGTCTTTCATTCAAGCTCGGCCTCACCTTGGACATCCAGCACATCTCCGGCTTTCGCAATACAGAAGCAGATTTCTTGAGTAGATGGCAGCCGCCGGAGGAGTTGCAGCACGGGTTTGAGCTCTTGTACAGGTATCGATTTCCTGTGGCTCGCATTTGGCAGTCGCATCATGATGTGCGTCTTTTTCCCGCAGATACAAAGCTGCTGTGGCAGCCCCCATGAGCTCAGTCGTCACACTTGAATGTTTGGGGCTTTCCAGGCGTTCCTCCTTCACTTTAGGATGTGGCAGTTCTAAAGTGGGGAATGTCTTTTGGTTCGCATGAATCGGTAATGTGTTCATGCTGCATGCTCACCTTTGATGCTTCGACCGCCACATCCAAAAAGTGAAGGAGTGTTTCGTCCGATGGTCCTTTGTGCAGTGGAGTGCATAGATCCGATTCGCGTGAGATATCTTCTGCATTCATCTTGTGGATTTGGCGAATGCGGGTGTGCGTTGTGAAAGATTTCCTTTGCTGTGCTTTGGGCGATGGCTGATAGTAAAATATAAACGTATCTTGTGTTTACTCAAGGATGTTTTTATTTTACTTCAACTGAGCTGTCACTTTGCTTGCGTATCAGCCATCGGCCCAAAGTGAGAGACTCATGTCTGGACATGACATACTTCGCATGCGTGAGCAATTTTGTGATCCCACCCTCCCGCCCTTGGATTGTCTCTGGGGGTGGTGTGCTCTTTTGTTTTCCCTCGGGATTCGAGCCAGTTGCAGGAGGCTTTTGCTCGCATGGAGATGAAATCTCCCACACTTTCGATAATGGCATGTCTTGTGCCATTTTTCACTTCCAATGTGGTGTCCCACTTTTTCGAGCGCCTGAATCTTGCGCCCAAGAACTCTGGCACGTCGGCAAGCCGTGGTGCTACTCTGTATAGCCCTCCTTGGGGGGGAATGTCTTTTGGTTCGCATGAATCGGTAATGTGTTCATGCTGCATGCTCACCTTTGATGCTTCGACCGCCACATCCAAAAAGTGAAGGAGTGTTTCGTCCGATGGTCCTTTGTGCAGTGGAGTGCATAGATCCGATTCGCGTGAGATATCTTCTGCATTCATCTTGTTGTTGTAGATGTTCGGATTTGGCGAATGCGGGTGTGCGTTGTGAAAGATTTCCTTTGCTGTGCTTTGGGCGATGGCTGATAGTAAAATATAAACCTTCTGGCTCAAGGTGAGGTTCTCTTTGACCGAGTAAGAAGCAAGAGCAATGATGCAGTGCGGATCGGATACCTCAGAGTTGCCAAACCAAGACACGAGGTCAGGAAAAAGGCGATCTGAAGTCTTTTTCCACGAGTTGGCAAGCTAAGTACCCTCGGCAGCTGTGGACGCCATGCCAGCAAGATTGGAGATTGGATTCATCGCAAACGCTGATCAAGGGTCTAGTGCCCAGCGGCCAGCCTGCGGGCTTGCTGAATGAAGCCGATGTCCAAGGCGACCTACGCAATGTTTTGCTCTCTCGGTGTTATTGCTGTGTTGCGAGAGTACGAAAGTGTTCAGAAACATGCGGAGAGATGACGGATGGACCGTATGATGCACATTCGCAACACTTAGACGACTACCGCGTCGTGTACATACGCAGCTGTTGTCCTGAACAGCTGCTTGACAACGTCCTCTATTGCTTTCCGTGCAGAAGCCAGCGTCTCGGAGCTGGGGTGCCATCAGCATTTACACAACAGTTGATCTGAGCAGTGAGGTCGTGGCAATCGGCACTTGCACGTCACCGTGCCCGCGAGATTCTGTTCCAAGACGACTGACGCTGATGAGAAATGGCATTGAGGTGCAGCTTCTTCTGCTTCTTCGGACATCTGCAATTCTCGGCTGCGTTGCGTCCCCTGTGAGGCCCATCTGCCGGAGCAGGCACAAGAGTTGCAAGGTTTGAGACCGTTGCTCCAGACACTACGACATGTGACTCTGGGGTGTGAGCACTAGTGTGTCAATAGCAGCCACATTGTCAACTGGCACGTTTGCAGTAATATCCAAGTCTCGAGTCTCAAACGATTACAGGCCAGCTGGTCAAAGCGCTCTTAGTTGTGCGTGCACAGACGCAATCAACCCATTTGGAGAAGTCGCCAGGGGGAAGGAGCGCTTGCGTTGCTTGGTTCAGCCAGTGCTCACTTGCCAGCATGATTTGCGCTTCAAGCATGACAGAAATTTGCAAGTGTTGTCCAGCCCTGCCGTGAGCATGTGCCTGGCTGATCCGTGAATGAACTGAGCTCGGATTTTCTTTCCCCTCCCATCTCGGGGCATGTGGGCACTCCATGCTTGGTCCATCCGGACTAGGCTGGTTTTGCTCGCCTGAACACATTCCAGTGCTGCTTCGTGGGATGTGTCCGTGCCTCTTCGACTGCAGCTGCCGAGCTTTTCCTCCTTAGTGACGTCAGCACCTCCCCAGCGCGCCAGTGTAAAAAGAGAGAGTCTAGCTGTGGCGCCAGTGACATTTTTTGCAACATGTCAAAAGGTGGTGAGGCTGAGGTCCATTGCAAGTGACTGCTCATGCATTCTGTTGCCTCTTCTGTACTCAGGATGCTTTCATGTACATGCGGTGTACATGTGTCTCTGCTCCATTTTCTTTAAAAGGGCTTTGGAAAGTGTTGCAGCAGCGAATTTAGAAATAAGGTCCAGAATGTTCAGGATGAGTAGTCAGTTCAATGTTTAAAGCGATCTTTGTGAGAGAGTTCACATCAGCAGCTCCCAGGTCGGATTAGGTGTTAGTGAAAGAAAAGGTCTCACTTAAGTCGAGTTGCAAGACACACAGCTGTTTCGGGACCAAGAACAGCCGAGACGTATTTTCAAATGTCCACTATGTTCCTTGGCATGTACGTAGCAGGGCGGGGGTCTCTAGCCGTTTTTCCCTGTGTAGCTGTGTGTCTTCCCAAGGAAGGGATCATGGTACGCCATGGTGCGCGCGTTTTCTATTTTGCATGTGTGCTCATAGCTGAAGAGGCGGCTGCGAGAAGCATTTCAGCGTGCCCGACTATGCAAAGCTTCCGACACTGCCACATCGTGAAGAACCAGACCATAGTGGGTACGAGACACTTGGTGTTGCGAGGGCACTGCAGCGGACCAATTGTTGTCCGCGCCGGCTTCACCGCAACCCAAAAGCTCGAGGACACCGTCCAACCTTCAGATTTGCTGCAGCATTTGGAAGGGCTAGAACATGAAGTCTTCGTCCCCGAACTACAGCAAGCACTAAGACATGTGCGTGGCAGTCTGCACTTGCAGAGTTTGCGTAGTATTCGACGTGAAGCCCAAGCGGTGGCAGCAGCAACTGCGGTGGGGCAGCTTCACCATGGAGTGAACACTGCCATCGATGTTTGCACTTTAACTTCGCCTCAGGACCCCAACCTGCACGTACGTCTAGAAGTCTACAAGGGATTTAGGTGTTCCGTTCTTCACTGGCTGCAGGAAAACACAAAGCAGGGTAAAAAGCAGGGTAAGCACATGCGATGCAGTTTGCCGCCTCAGCCATTTGACTATATATCTTTTTTTTTGCTGTACCTTAGGGATTTGCTCTGGCTGGAAGAGGCTGGATCAGGGCATCCTGACCCACGCAGTGGCAACAGCATGCTGCGGAGAGCGGCCAGATATGTATGGACCGATTTGGGAAGTTCGAACTCGGTGGATGTGACCGAGAGGGTCAATGTGTTTCGCAGGTATCTGAGGGACTTGGCCAGTCTTGCTTCACAAGCAAACAAACACGTGCCGGTTGGAAGGGTGCTGGACGCCTTCTACACAGCAGCAAACGAATCCGCCACTACGCCACGAATGCTTTGCCGACAAGTTCTTGGATCCATTTTGCAGGCTGTCGCGCACGAGAGTTGGGATTTCCAACAGCAAGTCATAAAGGAGGTCCAATTCAGCATGCTCAGCGTCCTGCAGAGTCCTGCTGATGCGCTGAGTCAAGGCAAGGACACGTTGCCAAAGTTGCTTTCCCAACATGATCCTGATTGGCTGTGATTGTGCCAGGCATGCTATCCCTCCAAGGCCCAACGTCATCACAGCTGACTAGACCTGTTTAGGAGAGATACCAGCTTTGGCGTTCTGCGAGGCTCTGCAGGCACTGCTTCATCGCCATCCATTGTCGTCTGGGTGCGGGAGCTGATCCGCAAGGACTCTGCTGTGTGAGAGCAAATGCCAGTACTTGGAGCGCGAGGTATCAGTAGCATTCAGTAGCTGAGTCCAGGGTTGGGGCATGGGTTTGGACGCTCGCCCGGCACACCACCATCGTCGGCAGGGGGCGGAGATTGGGGGCACACGTCCGTTCGTGGACAGGGGAGGGGCTTCGGGAAGCGGTTCGGTGCTGGGAGTTACAGCTGTTCCTTGCTGGAGTTTCAGTTTGCTGTCGGTTCATGTCTGCCGAAGTTTTGACCCACTCGACTTGCAGGATCGGACGGTCACGGAAAAGCTGAGGCCCAAGGAGGATTCCCATTGCCGGTCGTTTTGGAGCAGCACCTCTGTGCAGATAACGTCTCGTCAGGAGGACCCTGAGGGCGAGGACGAGCTCGAGCCGGCGTTTCAGGTGGAGTCGCCTCAGGCCATCGGACGCCGCGCGATGTGAAGTGGAGTTTGGTCGCATTTCGGCAAGCTTCTAGCACCTCCGCTGTTAGGGGGGACAGCGGGGAGGCTTTGGCGGCATCCAGCAGAGTTTGGCCGATTGGTGGAGAACTTTACACCTCTCCCCAGATTTCGACCCATTGCTTCCTCCTGGCCCCTGGGCGCTCTTCGCCAGGGAGTTCTGGAAGGGTCGATCCAGGACTCGTTCACTCTTTTTGAGTGCACCATAGAGAGGCCGCATGCCTTTCGCCAGGCCCGCTTGGAGCCAATCCTTGTATTGGGCTTGCTGCTCCTTGGCTTTCTGCATCTGGAGGGCCGCCTCCTTGTGTCTGGCAGTGACACTTAGGTTCCTCCATTGCGGTTCTTGTGGAGAGCATTGCCTGTGCAGTTCTGCGAGGAAGTCAGGTCCTTCGGCAATGTCTTGGCACGCTTGGAGGGGGCCCAGGTCCGGGAGGTGTTTTTGGGAGGCGGGCACCTGTTGCAGGATTCGGGCCATTCGTGCCCCGACCTCAGAGCCTTTGGCGGCAGTGGAGGGTCGCTGTAACACCAATGGTCCCCATGCACTGTGCCTGCACACACCAGCCTCTGCCGGTTCTTGGTGCGTCGTGGCATTGCTCCAGGCTTG